AGAAATAACTGTAGAGGCAAGAGAAAGCTGAAAGCACTTAAGCATGGAGTATAGAAAGGAAAGCCTTTTTGCTTTTCACAGCAATTGTACTTGGCTACCTTGATGTTATTACATTACAATGCCTGTTAGACACTGTGTTTAGTTAAATTATGAAAAAAAGTTCTTAAGTTTCCTCTCCTAAAATGCCTCATCTCAGATTTTGTACTTCCTAAAGTAGAAAGGTTGATTGTACCCATGTGAATTTTCCTGTGGAAATACAGATATTAACAAAAACCAGACTGAATGTCCCATTACAGGAGCCTCTATGTGTTAGATTATAGGCGTTTCCATGTGTAAACTGAGAGCTAACAATAACTGTTTAGTAAGAAACCAAAGATTATTTTTTTTCCCCTTCTCTTCCCTCTTGTCTCTGTGTCCTGGGTTAAGCAGTAGCAGTCATTTTTTCTCCTTCTTAGTAGCTGGTGCAGTGCTGTGTTTTTGACTTTCAGCCTGGGAACTGCGCTGATAACACCACTGGTTTTAGTTGCTGCTGAGTAATGTTTACTCTGACCAAGGTCTTTCTGAGTCTCATGCTCTGCCAAGGAGGAGGGGCAGACGGGAGGAAGCGGATTCAGGACACCTGACCCAAACTAACAAAAGAGGTATTCCATACCACAGCATGTCATGCCCAATATATAAACTGGTGGCAGTTAGCTGGAAGGACTAGATCGCTGCTCAGGTTGGACTGGGTATCAGTCGGTGGGTGGTGGGCCCATGGGAGTTTGATTTTGGAACAACTCCAGAGGAAGGCCATGAGGATGATCAGGGGGCTGGAGCACCTCCTGTATGAAGATAGGCTGAGAAAGTTGGGGCTGTTCAGCCTGGAGAAGAGGAGGCTGCGTGGAGACCTCCTAGCAGCCTTCCAGTATATGAAGGGGGCCTATAAGGATTCTGGGGAGGGACTATTCATTAGGGACTGTAGTGACTGGACAAGGGGTAACGGGTTAAAACTTAAACAGGGGAATTTTAGATTGGATATACGGAAGAAGTTCTTTACTGTGAGGGTTGTGAGGCACTGGAATGGGTTGCCCAGGGAGGTTGTGAATGCTCCATCCCTGGCAGTGTTCAAGGCCAGGTTGGACAAAGCCTTGGGTGGCGTGGTTTAGTGTGAGGTGTCCCTGCCCATGACAGGGGGGCTTGGAACTAGATGATCTTAAGGTCCTTTCCTACCCTAACTATTCTATGATTCGTATACTTGATGTTATATTGACAGTTACTGACAATCTGCTTTTTGGTAACTCATCAAAAATTAGCACAAAGAATGTAATGTAATTGCTTTGTACTAGTACATTAAACTTTTCATGAAGTTACTGTGGTAGAACAGTAAATGCATATCAAGTTAATTTTACTTCCTCTATGTCAGATGTATAAGTAAAGGATTATGCCTCTTAGATCTCGTCGTCAGCCATAAATCATGCAGTCGCTCTCTCACTCCCTCCCTTTTTGCCCTCCCCCTGCTCCCGGAGAGATGGGAAGGAGAATCAAAACAATGCAACTCCCTCGGGTCGAGATAAGAACAGTTTAGTAACTAAGGTATCACACAAATCAGTACTGCTACCACCAGTAACAATAATGATAAATAACGAAGAGAATACAACACCTCACCACCTGCCGACCGATAACCCGCTCCACCCCACCCGACCGAGCACCAACCGATACCTAGTCCAACCCCACAGTGCCCCAGCACTTCTGGGTAACTCTCAGTTACCTCCTGGGCATGACGTGCTGTGTATGGAATACCTCTTTGGTCAGCTTGGGTCAGGTGTCCTGTCTCTGCTTCCTCCCGCCTTCCCCTCATCCCTGGCAGAGCATGAGGCTTACAAAGTCCTTGGCCAAACCAAAGCATCATTGTTACCAGCTCTGTTCCCAGGCCGAAAGTCAAAACACAGCACTGCACCAGCTACCAAGAAGGAGAAAAACGACTGCTACTGCTGAACCCAGGACACCAGGGAAGTTGTGAATGCTCCATCCCTGGTGGTGTTCAAGAGCAGGTTGGACAGAGCCTTGCGTGACACTGTTTAGTGTGAGGTGTCCCTGCCCATGGCAGGGGTGGTGGAAATGGGTGATCTTAAGGTCCTTTCCAACCCTAACTATTCTATGATTCTGTGATTGTATGATTATCCTCCCCATCTGTCTGGAGAGGGAGTTGGGAGGTAAGAACAGAGGGAGCGAGCAAGCAGATATGTTGCTTGGAGTTACTGGGTGGGCTTAAAATACAGCACACATAGACAAGATTCTGTGGGCAATTAGGAGAAATCTCTGGGTAGGTAGCTCTTGTCCTTCTGGGAGATTTCCATTTCCCACACCTCAGCTGGCAATACCATACTGTCACTGCTGGGACAAGTGAGGCTGTGGAATTCCTGATGTTTGCGGAAGGCAGCTTCTTTTCACAAGTACTCAGTGATCCAACTAGGAAAGGTGCCCTCCTAGACTTGCTCTTTGTGAATCAAGAGGGATGCGTGTGAGGTGTGATGGTAGGAGGCTGTCTTGGCCACCCTAATCCCAAAGACCTTGAGCTCAAGCTTTTGGATGTCATGAGGGAAAAGCTCAGCAGAGTTGCTACACTGGGTATCAAGAGAGCAAAACTGAAGCTGCAGAGGAACCTATTTGGTAGGGTCTCCTGGGCATGAGCTTTTGAGGACTTCAGGGACCACGAGAGCTGCTCGCTTTTAAAGAACCAGCTTTTGAAAGCACAGGAGCAGCAATCCCATTGTGTCAATAGAAGCCAAGCAGGTGCAGCAGAAGAGCAGCTTGGAACTCCTCCTGGAACGGGGGTGGGAACAGAAATTGTGTGCTCTCTAGAAGCAAGTTCAAGCTTCTCAGGAAAACTATTGAGCTGTGGCTCACACATGGAGGGAGACATCACAAAAGCCCAAAGCTCAACTAGAGATGAAACTGGTCAGGGTTCTGTCAGACAGCAACAAAAGGCTTTTTGAAGTATGCTAATAGCAAGCAGAGGCCTAAGGAAAGTATTGGGACCTTGACTTTATGAACATGACCACTGAAAAGTGCAGATGAAGGAAAGACAGAGGTATTTAATGCTTTAGTATTGCCTCAGTGTGCATGGTAGACCTGGGGCTACCCAGGTCCTGTGAGTCAGAGGACCATGGCTGCAGGAGCCATGACTTTCCATTGGTGGACACTGCCGTTGTAAGGGAGCAGTCTTTGGGGGCAGGGCTGGACATGGGCATCATGGTGAGAGCCCCACAGGGCTCTACCCCATCTGGGGCCCTGGGTTCCAGAACTGAGGTCACATTGGTGTTCCATCCTAACCCAGTGGTGGCCCAGCAACAACTCCAGTGCCTGTACAGATGGTGCTGCAAGTGGCAGCACCAGCGGCACTGGGGGTGCCAACCTTTTGTAGAGGAGCGCTCCCATCCTGAGTGTGACAAGTTTTTATTTGCACGTCTTCTTGCGCCCCTGTCAGGATGGGGCAGTGGCTCTGCTGCTGCTGGTCCAGGTGGGTTCCCCCACAGCTCGGGGATGCACCAACACAGTCGGGCCCTGCTGCAGCTGCTTTGCTCATGTCTGACACTGTCTGCCCGGCAGGGATGACCATGGCCCCGAGCAGCAGTGCAAGCCCCACCAGGTGTTGCCTGAACCGCTGCTCCGGGCATGCTTGCGGGTGACTCGGGGCCGTGACCAGAGGAAGAAGAGGGACCTCCTCCTCTTCAGAGACACCCTGGTCATCACCAAGACCAGGTAAGACAGCCAGAGCCCAGCTGCCTTTCCTCCCAAGCCCTGCCCCTGGCACCAGAGCACCAGAGCAGGGACAGCCAACGAGCAGCCCCAGGGCCCCGGCACCCTGGTGCTGGATGTACACGTGGCCATGCCCATGGCAGGTGGGCACTAGAGGGGAGCCAGCAGGCTTGGCCACCTCCAGCTCACTCCCTGCTGCTCCTCTCTGCAGACGTGGCAGCACCCTGCGCCTGCTGCTCTGGCTGGCCCTGGGCCTGCTGCAGGTGCTGAGCAGCGGGAAGGGCTCAGCTGGTGATGCTGCTGAGGAGGAGGAAGGGAAGGCCACCAGCTCCCTTGTCTTCCTCTGGCCCTGTGGCTCCTGTTTAGTCACCTTCTTGTGAGTCCCAATGCAACATCCCACCAGAGGGGTGGGCCGCACCTCTGCCCTGCCCCATGAGGCATCATCTGCTGGGGCACAGCAGGCACTAAGGCTGTTTCTCCCCTCTTTTGGCAGCTCCCGAGCAGTGAAGGAACTCTGGGTCAACGCCCTCCTTAGGTAAGCCCTGCCTGGTACTGCAGCCTGGCTGCCCATGCTCCCATCATGGGGAGATGCTCCATGAGTGTCAACCAAACAATTAGAAAACACCTCTGCTGAGCTGGGCACAGGTGCCCCACAGCTGCAGACAGAGGTGCTCGCACAGCTGCAGGCAGAGGTGTCACCACTGCCAAGCAGGCACAGCTGGCAGAGCTGCTTCATCCAGCTGTGTCCAGCCAACACTTGCCCAGCCCCATCCTCACCACTGTCACTGCTCCTGCTCCACTGCCAGGTGGTCCCGGCTGTTCCTGGCAGTGTGGAAGAGCTCACCAGGCTGGCAGCAGAGGGAAGAGCTGGCTTGGGTCTCACACAGCTCTTTCTCTCCCCCTTCCCCATGCACAGACCACCCGAAGGAGTTCAGGGAGCCCGGGTGACCCAGCTGCCGTCCATCAGGCTGCTGCTGAAGGAGCTGAGTGGCCGCTATGCTGTGAGTGTCCCTCCTGCCTCTGCTCTGTCCCCAGGGGCTCCTCCAGCCCAGCATCAGCTGCATCGCTCCTCACCTTCTGCTCTTTTCCCCTTGCCCAGGGGACGACACTGGATGCCAGCAGCATGGAGAAGCTGCTCCAGCACCAAGCCCAGGTCAGAGTCACTTGAGGAGCAATCTCACTCATCCCCACCTCTCACACACAGCCAGAGGCTGATGCAGCTCTCCAGGGAGCCTTTCTGCTGTGGGGCTCCTTGGTGAGCACAGCCCATTTCTTGCAGGCTGGTGCCAGGCAGCTGCCACTTCCTGGCCCCTCCGGCAGTGAAGGCAGACGTGGCCAAGTGGATGGTGAGTGTGGAGAAGACAGGGGCAGGATGGCCCTTCTCTCCTGCTCTTGCACGCGTGCTGCAATGGGGCTGCCGCTGCCCTTCCCGCAGGGCACGTCCATCCCCATCACTCTGTGGCAGCAGAGAGCTGAGCCCTGGGGCCCCTCGCTCCCAAATGATGCTGCCTCTCTCATGCCCTCGGTGGTGGGGAGACAGCACTGAGGGAAGTCTGGGACCACTCTCCTGGTGCTTCTCCTCCATGGTTGTTTGCTCTCTTTCCCTTGGCAGCAGGTAGGATGAGCAGGAGCAGGAGGAGGCTGCCCTCGCCATTGGCACGGCCAGGGACCTCGGCTGCAGTAGGGGCACCGGGGCCATCGGGCTCTGCTGGCGCAGGATCTTTCTTTGCCCGGCCCTTGGAAGATCTGTGCAGCCAGGATGGCATGCTGCCTCAGCCCATCCAGGTAAGGCCGCCTGGGCAGGGGTTTCCCCATCCCATCATCCTGTTAGAGAGGGTGAAGTTTTTACAATAAAATAATCATATAAAATAGTAAAATGATTATATTTGAGAAATTTATAAATCAATAGTGAGGCTTTGTATATTAGAAGACGTTGTAACTTTGCCGTTTTGTATCATAGTTACTCTGTAACTACATGATACAATGGTAGTCTTGGTAGCAAGAGCTAACATAACTGCATATAGTGAGGGGAGTATAGGTGTATGTATTGTAAAACTCTACCCAAGCAGAACCTAAGTTTAAGATAGCCAAAAAGGGCATACCAGAAGCATCCTGGTGAAGATAAGAGAATGCTAACGTCCGGAAGACGACTGGGATCTGGCCAAGTAGAGAAAAGGTGAAAAGGACAACCTGAGGAAGACTTCTTACTTCATCTGAGGAAGACTCCTTACTTCATCTGAGGAAGACTCCTTACTTCATCAGGGCGACCACCAGAGGGGGCTGCGCAAACGCAGAAGAGGCTGATGTCGTAAGAGACTGAGGTAGCAATCTTTGATGCATATGTATTAGTAAATGATGTAATCTGTGTTGAATATGTATTAGTTACGAAATTTTTAGTGTATAAATTGTGAATGCGATGTGACGGGAATTGGAACCAGATTTGGGTGCGTACCCCTGGTTCCCGGTGCCTCAATAAAGCACCTCATATAACCATTCCGGTGGTTATGTGTCAGTTCTTACGCTAACAATCCCATCCCATCCCACCCCATCCTGCTGGCTCCTCAATAAAGAGGTTGTCCCCAGCACCTACCTCAGGACCTCTCTCCAGCCCAGCAACTCTCCTCCTCTGTGCCCTCAGGACCTCCTGGCTCTGCTCAATGAGCATGGCCCATCCACGGAGCGGATCTTCCGACTGCCAGCCAGCCAGCGCGCCTGCCATGAGGTCAGGGAGGCCCTGGACATCGGGGTGCCGGTGCAGCTGGAAAACCAGCTCATGCTGCTGCTGGCTGTCCTCTTGAAGGTGAGCCCTGCTGACCCAGAGCCCTGCAGCTCCCGGCTCTCTTGGTGCTGATGGGCACCTGTGGGAACACACGCAGAAACCCAGCCACCTGCTCATGAGCCAGAGGGCTGGGGATGCTGCAAATGCTCCTGGGGACAGTGGCCAAAGCCTCACATGGAGCCCTTGGCACTGCAGGACCTCCTCCGGAATATCCCCTCCAAGCTCCTCAACATCCAGCTGTTCGAGGAGTGGATGAATGCCATGGAGAAGACCAGTAGGCAGGAGAGGCTAGCAGCACTGACAGAGTAAGTGTGGCAGCAGCCAGCAAGGACTGGCACAGCCTGGAATTCCAATGCAAAGCAGTGGCATGCCTGAAATAGCCATGGCTCCTGCAAGCCACCTCCTGTTGCTGCAGGGTTTATGTTTGCAGGGAAAGGGGCACCAAAAGGCTTTTCTCTCTGGGGAGCACTTCCCACAGGCACTGGGGCTTGTTCCAACAAGAGCCTCTTTCAGAAGAGCAGGGAGGGAGGGAGGTGGCCGCATCTCAGCAAAGGCAGAACCTCTGCTTTAGAGCAGGCAGTGGCCTTGGGTGAGATCAGCCTGGGAGACCTGTGTTGTCAACACCGACTTCATTAACACTGTGCTCATGTTCCCTCAGGGTGGCCAGCAAGCTACCAGAGGCCAACCTGCTCCTGCTCCAGCACTTGCTGTGGCTGCTTAGCAGCACCAGCAAGAATGTGGCCACAACCAAGATGACTGCCAGGAACCTGGCCATCTGCCTGGCATCAAACCTCCTGAGCCCACTCCAGGAGATGCCCCTGGATGTCCTGGCTCTGGAGACAGGGAAGGTACGCTGTGTTCACCACCCGGCTACAGAGTTCCAAGCCCATCCCGGCTTTGCTGCTCAGAGGGTCCTGGCTGCCTCCTCCCATCATCAAAGCCATGGGCAGCATCCGGGAAGAGCAGGCCCACAGCTGCACTTGCCTGCACAGAAGCGTGGGTCAGGCTGGGAAAGGCTGTTTGAGCCCTCATCAGCCCCCTCAGTGAAACAGTGGTTTGCTGTGTGCAGGGAACGCAGCTCGTCGAGTTCCTCATTGACCAGCAGGTGGAACGCATTGGAGAGCAGGTGGCCGGGCTGGCCAGCAAGGGGGATCAGGAGACACCAGCACCACAAGCAGAGCTGGAAACAGCAGAGGTAAGTGAAGTGCACAAGCAGTGTGACAACAAAAGCCTCCCCCCTCAGAAGGTGGGGCTGCTGCTGAAAGGACAAGCACGGTCATCCACCAGCCTGCAGCTCTGCCAAAGTACAGAGCAAGGCTGATGCAGGTTGGCCATCCTGCTTTGTGAGGTGATCCCACCACAGCTGGCTCAGCTGAGCTGAGCAAACCCATCCAAGGTATGTGCCTTTTAGAGCTAGGGTAGCAATTGTGCAGGGAGGTCCTTGCCCCCTGCTAACCTACACATTGCCATTGCAGGTGCCTCCCATCGCTCCTGAGAGAGAACAGCAGAGGAGCTTATCCGGGGAGAGAAGGTAAAACTGCCTGGCTTTGCTTGGTTCAAGCTAATCATGGCTTCACCTGTCTAACAATACTGTTGAATGGAAAGGTTCCCTGGCTCTTCGCGGAACACCAGGAAGCGAAGAGCAACCTGGGAAGAGGGCAGTGACAGGCCACCATCCCGGAAGAAGACCAAAACTGAGCTCTCAGGGATGGGCAACTCAAAAAATTCAAGCAGGGGAAGAACGAGGCACCCAGGTATGTAGCAGAGCCTGTGTTCCATCTTTTTGCCAAGCTCTGAGTATAGGAAACATTCCTGAGGTGCACAGGATGGTCCTGCCTTGGGGGAACATGTATGTCAGGAGAAACATGCCACCACAGCATTGCCTGCCAACCTGTGATTTTAGTATGGCAGTGTGAGGGATGCTGCTGCTTGGGTTTTGGAAAGGACCATATCCCAGCTTCCCAGGCTCCCTGCCGAGCCCTGCTGCCTGGCGAGGGGGCACTGTGCATCTCTGTCAACTTGCCGTGCTCTGAAGGTGTTGCATGTGTTGAGAAGGTACCAAAGCAACGCTGTAGTTGTCAGTTAGGAGACAGTAAGGAGCCTCTCTTCTGTGCTAGCAATGACCCTTTTTACAGCATACTTCCAAAAAACCCAGGAGCCAAGTCCTGCCTGCTCTTCCCCTCATGTCTTCATCAGCACTTTCTGACTGCCCTTGTAGGTGCCCATTTACTGCTTCGATTCCCCGCATGTGCTCTGCTGCCTGGGCTTGGAGTTCCACCGTGTGGCCCCAGCACCACCTCGGCAGCGGCGAGGACAGAACCACCTTCTGCTCTGGATAGAAGGTTCCACCACCTTGTCCCAGAGCCAGAGCAGCGCCCTCAGACCCATCCCAGCCCTCACAGGCGGCCTTGCTGGCTCACTCCTCAGCTCTGCCAGCAAAAGCCCACCCACTGGAGCCTCTCCTCAAGTGGTGAGCTGGCCTCTGGACTTTGTTACTACCGTTGTTACTCTGCTTGTGTCTATGTTTGTTGATATACTTGTTTCTGTGTTTATAACTGTGTTTATTCGTCTATTACTATGTCTTTTTAAAACAAATTTTAGGATATACTTTAGGATAGATTTAGGATATAGTTTAGGAAGCACGTTATAGGATGGTAGTTATTTCACATTGTGTTAGTACACACTTCATAGGATCGTAGAATAGTTAGGATTAGAATAGGATAGTTAGGATTGGAAAGGACTTCCAGTAATTTCATGTAATGTCACAAGACTGCTCTTTGAATGGCTTTTCATCTGTATTAGTAAAAATAAGAAAGAATTACAAAAGTCGTATCTCTCTGCCTTGCCATCTGCATCCTGCAGAATGGAAAACAGAAAATAAAGTGTATTGAGAGAGTCTTTGGATTAGGGAAGAAATGACAGAAAGATATTTATGAATGCAGAAGAATTACTGCTACACCTTGAAAAAGATTCAGATAAGCTCTAAAGAGTACTGCCTGCTGTTGGAATACAGCTGCATATCTTAGACACCTGTTAAGGTCCAGAAGTAAAGAGAAACTTGCTTCTGAAAGAAAAATGAAGGCAGGCAGCAGATAGGAGCATTGAATTGCTCCACTGTACGTTCATTGACAACTGCTCGTGGTGGGGAGAGAGATGCTGAAACAGAAACAAAAAAAAAAACAAAAAACAACAAGGAAACAAAATAATAATAAAATACCCCCAACACAAAACCAAACAACCGCCTCCCACCTCCTCCCAAAAAACCCCGAAAAACAAAAAAATAAAAAATAAAAAAAAAAACACAACCAAAACCCCCCTAAATCCTATTTTGAAAAAAAAAAAAATAAAAAATATATCCCTCAGATCCCTCTCACTCTGATGGGAGAAACACTGGGAGATGACAGCAGGTGTCCCAGGCATCTGCAAACAAAGTTGTCTCAAAACTGGATAGGTTTGAGGGGTAGAGGTGAGTGGCTGATAACGCACGTATTCCCCTTGCATTTGCTGGAATACATTGTGCAAACTGCCTGCAGTTCTCAGCATTGCTTCATATGTATTATGCCTCCTGGAGCAGGGGGAGGAAGGAGGGGGACTGAGTGACCGGCTGCGTTTTGGTTTGCTGACTGGGCTTAAACCATGACAAGTTGGTATAATAAAATTGTGTTGGAGTTAATAGCTACTTAAACTAGTACATCATCCTGTGATCAACATTCAATTTTAATTCCAAGAAAGATATAATTATGGAATTTTCTTTATAATTCACATTCTGGTAAGTCCATAACATTTGGCAAGTATAAGAATTCATTTTAATAATCTAAATGTAATAGAGAGACAAATATTCACATCCTGAAACTGGAAAACAATATTATCTTTAACTGAGTGCTTAATTTAACCTTTTTTATTGTTGTTTATTATAATTTTTATTGATTAGCTATTCTGTATTTTATAGATTTTAATTACTTAAAATATGTAGCTCTACCTGAGGAAAAAAAGCCTGCTAATACATAAAATATTACTGATAATCAAATAGCTTTTCAGAAAATAAAGCTCTGCCAGGGCGATTGTGAGAAGAACGCTAAAAGCCATTCAGAATCCTTGATCAGCCTGCTGTACAGCAAGAGAACAGTAGAAACTTTTCATCCTTTTCTGTCCAGCTGTTCCTTATGAAAGAGTGAGGTTCTCAAGTTCAGCTATGTGATGGATAGCTTACTGCAGCATGTGGGATTTAGATTTCTGTTTTTTTTCCTTGACACAGTATAATACTGGGTAAGGCAGGAACATGACAAATCATGAAAATATACTAGCCCAGTGATAAAATCTTTCAATTGTTCTTCCTTTATGGAAGCAGAGGATAACTCAAGGAAACCAACCAACCAACCAAACCTTACCTGGAGTCAGTTTGTTATATAATTGATTGCCAGTACATCTAAATTACAAAAATTCTCTCTTCTTGCCTTCCTGGATACAAGAAAATTTTCATTTCTTTATGCACTGACCAAAATGACTGGCTTATGTGAGGTGAAGGTAATTAATCTTCAGGTTCTTTCCTGAAGGAGAGGCTTAATGTACAAAAATAAAACATATATGTGAAAAAGTAATTACAAGTACAGATAGATCAGTTGCTTGTACACACACACATATACACACATTAAATATATTTTTCTTCAGTGGAATATTTCCCTACGAAGAGAAAAAATTATTTTGCATCATTATAGAGAATAAATTGGGCAAAAAAGATCACAAAGATAAAAAAAAAGAACATGCGGCAAGGAAAGAAAGAACTATTGGTTAGGATACTAGCCAGGAACTCAGCACATCTGATTAACTCTTTTGATGGCCCCAGCTATCTGTTGTCCTCTGCTAAGACTTAAGGCTAGACCTAAAATAACATTTTTGGTCAGCTCTTTAAGAAAAGGCTTTATTTTAGACCATCTGGACTTAACACAAAGGAACATTTCAGTGCATTAAGCTCAACTTGGGTGAAATGAGTACATAAAATCAAGACATCAAAATTAGAAAGACCTGTCTTAAAGTATTTGTGATCACGAATCATCTATATCTGTATATAAATGCTGAAAAGGCACCAACTTGTGATGCCAAGAGACACTGAACAGTTTTTATATGTATTGGGTAGGGGTAGTTCTTTTTTAGTGCATCGCCTTTGGAAAAAGGTAATTCATGTGGTAAAGAGCACAAGCAGGGAATGAATTTACAGATAAATAGGATAGATAATCAGGAGCCTGGTGCATGAGTTTGAGAGACAAATCTAACTTTTGTAGGGAAAACTCCATAACTTGCAGTTTGGTTCACTTTATACAAGCTCAGTTGCCTGGAGGTCACATTTGTAGTCTAAAATAATTTTTTAACTCTGTTTAGTTCACAGAAAGATAAACCAGTTAATTCTATCTCAAAATATGAGTTAGGATTCAGCTAAATGAGATGCTCGCTTTCTATTTTAGGAAGATTTCTATTTAGACAAGAGATTCAGAGCAGCTGTGTGGAGAAGGACTTGGGGGTGTTGGTCAATGAGAAAATGAACAGGAGCCGGCAGTGTGTGCTTGCAGCCCAGAAAGCCAACCATATCCTGGGCTGCATCAAAAGGAGCATGAACACCAGGTAGAAGGAGGTGATCCTGCCCCTCTACTCTGCTCTTGTGAGACCTCACCTGGAGTATTATGTGAAGTTGTGGTGTCCTCAATGTAAAAAGAACATGGAACTGTTGGAAAAGTCCAGAGGAGGGCCACGAGGATGATCAGGGGACTGGAGCACCTCCCATATGAAGATAGGCTGAGGAATTTGGGGCTGTTCAGCCTGGAGAAGAGAAGGCTGCGTGGAGACCTCATAGCAGCCTTCCAGTATATGAAGGGAGGCTATAGGGATGCTGAGGATGGACTCTTCATTAGAGACTGTAGTGACATGACAAGGGTTAACGGGTCCAAAGTTAAACAGGGGAAGTTTAGATTGGATATAAGGAAGAAATTCTTTCCTGCTAGGGTGGTGAGGTACTGGAATAGGTTGCCCAGGGAGGTTGTGAATGCTCCATCCCTGGCAGTGTTCAAGGCCAGGTTGGACAAAGCCTTGGGTGGCATGGTTTAGTGTGAGATGTCCCTGCCCATGGCAGGGGGGTTGGAACTAGGTCCTTTCCAACCCTAACTATTCTATGATCCTGTGATTCTATAAGATTCAGATTTCCAGACCACAGGACCCTAAAATTAGTATTCTGAAAGTAACTATACCTGGGTGAAATATAAATTTGTATATTTTTATAAAGGAGGTACAGTTCTTCATTCATTGTCTGAACAAAAGAATTTAAAGGAAGAGTCAGTTTTTTCTGATAATAAGACTGCTTAAGCATTTTGGAGGCAAGAATGAAAAATAAAATATACAATAAGGCACCAACAGTCTAGTTTCACCGTATCTGAACTAAAGTCTGAAACAATGAGTTTCAGGTTTGTATCAGTGCTTATCCACAGGCGTAACTTATGGAAGTAGTCTAGGAGAGATGATAGTATTCAAACCTGTCCCCCTGTCCAATGTTTTCCATTAGTGGGCTTAAGTTAAAATCAGTGCATTCATGTCAGAGATCCTCTGTTTTCCAAAAGAGAAGTAAGGAAAGGCTTGCTGACCAACATGGTACTGGTTGCTGGAAAATACATGCTCCATTATCTTACACATACTCTGTTTTGTTTGTTTTGTTTGGGTTTGCTTTAAATACATGACTGTGCTGTCATGTGCTGGGATCATGTTAATTTTCTTCGTAGCATCTTGTATGGGGCTGTTTGGATTTGTGCTGAAAACAGTGTTGAAAACACAGGGACGTTTTAGTTACTGCTGAGCAGTGCTTACACAGAGCCAAGGTCTTTTCTGCTTTTCACCCCACCAGTGAGTAGGCTGGGGGTGCACAGCTTGGGAATAGAGAGTCAGTGTCATGTTAATTTTAATTTAAACTCATTTAGAGTGGCTTAGATTTGCCTTTTTACTTTATATGGTGTGAACTACTTGTGAATAAACTTCTGTAACAGTCAACATCATAGTTATAACACTAGCTCTACCTTTCATATTCAGCTGAATTTGTTTGCCTTAACCTGTATGTTCTTGTGCCATTTAAAATATCTTTGTGAATAGGGGTCTCTGTCTGGCTTGGCAAATAAAGCACCTAAAAAATAATCATGCCCTCCCGCATCAGTAAGTAGAGGTCAAGCATGAAACACCTGCGCATTTCAAATGGTACTAAGACATCAAGATTAAAGCCCCTGGATTTCTACCCTAGACAATTAAAATTTGAAAAAAATCTGGAGTTCAATTCTCCATGAAATATTTTTTTTCATTTTATGAAAAATAATAATTAGGCAGTTCTTCTTACTTGTATCCTTAGTAATATTATGAATTCATTAATAAATATGTATGCTTCAAAGCACTCTCCCTTAGGATCTTTGGAATTCAGCAATGAATAAATATTCATGGTATTGTTCTCTTTTTCCTAAAGGTTAACACCTGAAATTAAAACATTTATTTTTAATGGAATACATGCTCTAAATGACTCTAGTTCAAGAAATGGAGCATTCATGAGTACAGTGACTATCCTTTAAGCTGCTAATTGCTCAATATGATCTGACAGTAATTATTTAGGAATTACCTTTTTTTTCCAGTATTCTAGGTATTGCTAATGAAAAACTGCTTGTTTTCCTTGTTTTCATAATATAATACTCATGGAGATTGACAGCATTTATGTGAGTAGTTTTAATTGAAAATGAATTACACATAGGAAATATTTGGTTAAGAATAGGAAACCACATAGCTGTGTTAATGCTTTGCTGTTTATTGTATGTAATAAATAAATTATAGTGCTTCCATAAAAAAACAAATAATTTTAATGCAAATCCATGCTTATTTCTCATGATAGTCTGATGTAGTCTTTGTTATATCTCCTCATTGTTTAAACACTTTCTGTTTTAGAAACATTATTCATCTGCATATTTTAAAATAACTTCAAAATGAGTTTATGATTTAACCTAATGTTTAGCTTTTTCTTTTTAAAAAAAATAAAAATCTTCCAGTATTAGATTTTTTTAAAGCTTAACTTTGTTGTTTCATATTTTTTCCTTATGATTGAGAGTACTGAAAAGTTCCTAATTACATAAAAAGGTCAAAGATAATTCAAACCAAATTCAGATTTATTTCTTTTTAATTTTGAAATATTCTAATACTTTCTAAATTAAATTTTAGGTATAAACATGCAGACAGATGATGGACAAACTCTTGGGTTTGAAGTGCATCTTTATGAATTCTGAACATTTTACAG